CAATGCAAAAGTGTTCTAAATCTAACACTCAGGCTAACGAGCACCCACAAGCTACTTGTGTCAGTATGAAATAAAGATCTCACACTGATGTGCACTGGTGAGAAGCACAACTTGCACACTGCATTCTGACTGATGCTCCCTGTGCTCAGCTGCATCTTGTAAAATAGCATTGGGAACAGATGAGCAATGAGAGCGTGTGTGACCTATTTCTTAACACCACAAAATATCAGAATGCTAAAGCAGCAATTCATGGCTTTAAAAAATAAAATTATCTTCACTCCTACACAGAAATTGTGGTTAATAAAATGTCACTAAGATTTGTTAAATGTAATACTACATCAGCTATGTGTCTGAATTGCCAAAGCTTAAACTTAATTTCTAAACTTTGGGGACAGCAAATTTAATGTTTGGTAATTAAATAAACTAATAGAAATATGTACATTAGCAAGGAACCCCATCTAGGCTTGTCATAAACATGAAACTAAGTTCCCCCAAAATAACAAAGTGCAATTAATGATTGCCTACTACGTCGATGGGTCTATACAGATGTCAAACATAACAGCAATGATCCAAAAATAAGCTTTCCAAATCATCTGTCCTTTGCTCTGCTCCCACCCTGGTGGCACAAACACCTTTCACTGTGTTTGGAGGGAGAGGGGGAAAACCAACAGAGGAAATCGCTCTCATCATTCCCATGTAGCAGCTTATAAGAACGCAGGGTTTACAGCTCAGAGAATGCTCAGGAGGCACTGAACAATGTAGCAAAAACAAATTACATGTTATTCATTACTTCCAACTGAGTTTGCCAATGTGAAAAGCCAGCCTACAGGAAGATAACTCAGATGAAAGACAAAAACTGATATCTATGCTGCTGATATGCAAGGCTATTTTTTTTTTTTTTTTAAATAAAATTAATAATAACTTTAAAAAAACTGACTCGGGTCTAAATATTAACACTCTACTTTAGGAAACTGTAAGAACAGAAATTCAAAGTCAAAACTAGAAGCATGTATTAAACCTACAGCATGATTACTTTTCTTGCTTTCTCCAGGATAAAATTGTATTGTTATAATAAAGCAAACACCCTTTGCATCTCACCACAGTCATCTTTAACTGCTGTGGCTTTGCACCCTGAGCAGCTCTCCTGCAAACCAGAGCACAGAGGGATCTGCAGCCACATGGGAAAAGCTATTTTTGCTGAAAAGCATTTAAGAGCTCATCAAAACAAAGAAAACAAACAAGCAAAAATTAGGTAAGAGCTTTCTTACCGTAACTGTCAACCTTATACAACAAAACACAATTCTTTATGCTATGTTAAAAGAAACTCCACTTGTCCCAAGCACCTGTCTATTTACACGTGTCAGCAGAGCTCTTGGGGTTCCCAAATACCACAGCTCTCTTAGAGAAAGTTTCCTCTGACAGTTTACAAGCCTCAGCATGCCAAGGCAAGCAATTTGGAAACATCTGTTTTCTTCCCCATAGTCTTCCATTAGTATCAGGTAAACCACTGACAGCTCATGGAGACAGACGGCTCACCGACTGGCTGCTCAACACAGACTGTGCACACATTTCTCTCCAGAAATGAGTCAATTTGACTGATATCACTTTGCTATTCTACTTTACCAAAACAGAATGAAACCTCGGGGAAAAAAAAAAGAAAAAAAAAAAAAAGCAAACCCAAATCAATGACACACGGCCTCATTATCTGAATCAATAACCACATTCAATACATTTTGGTGGCAACTGTGACAGAACAAAACGTGTAAAGAAAGCCAGAAACATAATTAAGCTTTCATCTTTGAATATATGTGGAAGAAAGCAGATAAAATAAACAATGTGAGCAAGAAGGGATTTTTTTTTTTTTTTTTTTTTGTAAAATACTTTCGTTATTTGTAAATGACAACGAAGGGTAAGGAACAAAAATACAAGAAAATTCCTCCAAGGTGTTGCAGTGTCACATAAATCCCAACTCATCACCGCCCATCCCCATAAAACGATCCATAAAGGAATTCCATAGGACAGAACACTTCCTCGGGCTTTCTGCTAATAAGCGCTACGCCATGGAGGAGGCAGAGACATTGTGCGAGATCAGCTTGCAGACGTTCATTCTGCGCACACAGGCTTTGCCATAGGCACAGGCACACGTTTCTGAAGGCCTCCTGCACCCCGCAACGTGCTGCATTGTTCGAGGAGGAAAAATATCTGAGAAACGCTTCCCGCATGGCCTGAAGGCCCCTTCTCTCAGGGCAGCCCCTGCCGCCTTCCACCACCATCACAGAGAGGACACAATGCAGCTGAGCAGCACCCTGCTTATTTAACGCAATAATTCCACAGCCAAGAACCGAAACCGTATTTCCGAACCGAGGAAACCAGAGGAAAAAAAAAATCTTCGTGGGTGCCCCTGTGCACCTCAAAGGCAAATGGGGGGGGGAATAATCACCACGCATTCACTTTTTGCCTTTTTTTTAATCCCTCGACAGAAACACCGTGCGGATTCTGACCCACACCTACGGCTCCGCTACGGCAGCACCGCTGCTCTCAGACCCCCAGGACTCCGCCGCCCCCTCGCGCCTCCCCGCGGCCCAACCCGGCCCAGCACGGCCCCCCGGCCCCGGGCCCGACCTGTGTGACGGCGGAGGCCGGGCGGCGGCGAGGGCCCCCCCGCGCTGCCCCGCGGTGGCGGGCGCAGGCCCGGCGGAGCAGGCGGCGCGGAGGGAGCGGCCAGGTTTCCGGAGAGGAGCCCACCCCCCCCCCGGGAGGCGGGGGGGAAAGGGCCCCGGGCCCGCACGGTGGGGAAGGGGACGGGAGGCGCGGAGCGGCCGGTCGGCGAGGAGGCGGCGGGGCCCTCGGGGGGGCCGACGGGGCCGCGGTCGGGCCGAGGAGGGCGTCCCGTCAAGCGTGAGGCGACGGCAGCCGCTGCCAAGCGAAAGCCCCGCCTCCCGTTCCGCCGAAACTCGTGACGTCGCCGCGCCGCCGGCAGGAGGGCAGGAACGTGAGGCGTCACCGAGCGCGTCACGGCCTGAGGGCGGCCGGCTGCTTCTGCGCACGCGCAGGAAGTGGCGGCGCAAAGCCACGGCTGAGGGAGCGCGCGCACCGCGGGGGCGGAGAAGGCTCCGCTGTAACGCTGCTTTCTGTGCTACACACAGGTGTACCAAACCTGCTGCTGGGAGAGGCAGCGTGCGACCAGAGAGCAGGGCCAAGGACGGTTACAACTACGAAAGTCTCCAATGAGAAGTATTGGGAGTTAGTATTTGAGGACTGCTTTCCTTTGCTACACAAAAAGCTTGCAAAGACTGCAAAGTAGCTCTGCCACTGATATATGCAGCAGAACAATAAAAACAAGTGTTACCATCTTAAGAAAACAGGAGCGCGCTGGAGACAGACCTGGAGATGAGCATATCCAAGAAAGGCACAAGGCTCTGAATCATACTGTAGTAAGAACTGGAACACTGACATGAAGGAGATACAGTCATCCTTCTATGTTATGACATGCTGTTCTACAATTGGCCAAATTGTCAGCCTGTTTATGAAATGCCTGCTGTGACCTAAAGTCTTCAACTAGAAAGCTTAAGAGGTGACCTTTTGTGCTAAATGACAGGGAAAGAGCCAAGAAAAATGCTGACTGCACGTGATGCACTTGCACCACCAAGCACAGTCAGTGATCCACAGCAGCTTACACAGCTTTGAGAACACTTCCAGTGCTTCCCTTACCTTCATGTTTCTGTTCACAGCTATTTGTCAGTTTTAGTATCTCGCAAATTGATTTCATTCATGGAAGGATTAGTATTAAGTAGTTTTTGAGGACTGCTTTCCTTTGCTACACATGAAGCTTGCAAAGACTGCAGAAGAATGTCTGCCCCTTTCCTTTGCATTTCTGCACAAAGCCCCGATAGCACAGAGCACTCTCAGTGCATCACCAGAGCCATGTAGGGGTGCTCTACTTCATCCCCATAGGTATGCCACAGTAATGTGGGATAATATCTAGAACACAGCAATTTCAGCATTTGGAGTGAGATTAAGCAGCCAAATATTGACTTTGAGAATATAATGACGTATGTATGTTTGTGTATATATGCATATAAAGCATACACAGTGTTTATAGTTAATGTACACACATACATGTATATTATATATAATATCATATATAAGGAAATCAACACAGTATTTACAACACTGACTCATATTAAGCTCAGTCCAAACCCAGGGGTATGGTTCTAAGATAAGGTGTAACAACACTGGAGCAAAACACCGCTTATCAAAACAGTATGATTGCTGATATGGAAAAAGAAGAGGATAAAAATAGATGACAGTTGCAATAAAGCATATTAGTTATTTATGCATTCAATACAAACACTACATAAGCAATGGATGTTGGGAGGAGCGCGGGTGGAAATTACAGGGTAAGCACATCTTAGGATAGCCTACTCAAGTAATTGACTGCAATCTGGCAGCATGGCTCTATCTTGATTCCAGAATCAATACTTCATTGCAGTAAGAGGTTCTCACCTAGCACACTGCTTGAGACAAGTGGCTCTATTAGTTAACACTAAAGCTACAGCTTTTAAACACTTCAAATAGGCATAAACCAGCTCCTTCTAGTGGCTACACTGTTATCCCTCATTCCCCCTCCTGCCAGGTCCGTCTCCCTGCCACTCCTTCCCATAGCTGGCACTATATTACCATGCTGTTACCATCTTTTTTACTACAACCATATAGTTACAAATATAAATAGTAAATACAAATAGTTACAAATCTTTGAAATTGCTGATTTAATCAGGTGTAATAACTGGCAAAGGAACATGCTTTTCGAAACTCAGTGGGTAAGGGAAGTTAAGACAGCTTCTCCTAGGAATTATCACTAGTGTAAAGTCTGTGATGCCAGAATGCCTTGCACAATTAAGAGTCCCCCCTCATAAGCAGAAGAGCTAACATTGTTTATAAATTTATATCCAGCCCACAAGGGTTCAAACCACATTAGTTCACGTCTTTGTTGGTCCTACCTGGTTCCTATGCAGCTCTGTCTTTCCATGACAGGAGGATTTCTGAAATTCCATCTACTTCCAATGCAAGTACACCATCATTGTCAGGTTGATGCCAAAAGACAGAGCAAACAGTTCTTTATTACACCTTTCCACCTAGAAGCCCACACTTGAGATCTGAAGTGAGAAACAAATTCTTCAGACTGCATAAAGCTATGACTAGCATTTACAGCAGCCTTTACCACCCAAAGAAGTTATTCAACATGAGGACAGAAAAGACAACAAAAAGATCTCAATTGAGAGATGACAGCTAAGGAAGCTCCTATCTACCACCACTTTGAGACTTAAGATGAAACAAAAAGCAATGACACAGGAAAAATATCAACATTCCTGGTTGTAATTCAGACTGCTTTAGACACAAATATCTGACAAGGGACTTCCTCCTCCCACCTAATAGATGCATTTCTCACTAAGACTGACATCTCCCATCATACTAAGTTTTCACTTTAGAATGCATTCCTGCTAAGTGAGACATGTGCATGCTTTCCTAAAGATTGTATAGGATGTTCTATACAACTGTTCAGAAGAAGACTAAGCTACAAAAACTTGTAAGAGGCAACTGTTGCCTCATTTGTTTGTTTACTTTAAGGCAGAGCACACATTACTGAAGAGTAAAACTGATCAGTCTATATCTGAATAATTAATATTCCTGCAAAGCATAAGACAGAAGGCTTATAAAAAATCCCCTTTGAGGAACTACACTGTTTTCATAAATGCAAAGCTCTACAACACATTCAGATATAACACTGGACCACACAGCAAGGTAGCAGTTAATAAGTGCCCATTTATCAGTTCAATGATTATATGGTAGTAGGTAGGCAGAGTAGGAGAAAGTTTACCAGAGGTAAATGTCAAAGCAACCTAGGAGATTTTTACTGGACTGTAACATTCTGACATTCTACTCTGCTCATCTGCACTGGACAGTAAATGTTTAAATTTCAGTGTCTGAAACATCAGTCTCCTCAATGTCTCCAAAGGTTTCTCAGTCTTTTTCCCCACATTCACCCTCCTTGTAAGATAAATAAAAACAGAACAATCTTCCCTGAACTTCAGACACCCAAATCTTATACAGGTCAGTGATGTTTTTGTAATCACCTTTCTTTCCCTTTAAAGAAAACAAAAAAAAAAAAAAACCACACAACCCTGAACGCCCTTTGATCAAGGGTTGTTGTCACAGAAGCATAGGAAGAGCTTTGCTTCAGCTGATATTATCTGCAGTATGCACAGCAGAAGTCTGAAACATTTGTGCTGCCAGCTGAAAAAAATACCTGTTTCTACAAGGTGCTGTGAAACTTAAAAAAAAAAATTTAGAATAATTTTTGTCTGCATACAGAGTCATTGAAGTGCCAAGGATCAATGTAATTCTCCATTCTGAACACTAATTACTTCATTACCTTACTGATGCAAGAAGTGGTGAGCTGGGGGTGAGGGGAAGGCTGTGAGCACTGCCAAATCATTACAGCAAGTCAGCCACTATTATAATATCTAAATAATGTAATGTTTTGATATTGTTCACAGCAAACCTCATGGGAGCTTAAAAAAAAAAAAAATAGAAAAACATACTGCAGAAAGCACTCTGATGTTTTCCCTTCACCTTTCAAGGGTGCATTTTCTGTATTCATATGCTGTACCTACCTCTAGAGTGTTCTGAGTATGTCTCCTATTGCAGTCACCTGCAGTGCATTATGGCTCCACACACACTGGCTGTTTCAGCTTCTTGTCAGGGAAGAAAAGGACACACGGGAAGAAGCCTCTTCTAAAGAACTGGCTTAGATCTGAAGACATCTATTGTTTTGCCTGGAGATTGAAGAAGACAAGGTCAAATAGAAGTTCCTTTTACTCAGAGCAGCCCAAAATTTGTTACAGCTCTTACCTGTGAAGCAGCTTATGCCAAGGAAGCTGAACACATCTTCCACAACAGAGAATGCCACCCTTCCTGATGTTCTATTTCACAGGCAAAAGTGATGCATTTCATCACCAATATTTATAAACTCCCCCCCTCATGAATATTCACACTCCAAAGTTAAAGAGATTTGCAAGTTAAAAATATTTCTACCTTTGTGCTCAAATCCTGTAAAGAACAAGAATTTACAAATAGAAGCAATTGTTTCATTAAGTCACTTCCATTTAGTGGTAAATCTACATTTAATATGTCATAGAAGCTCATAGTCAAATGTGAAATTCAGTTTCCCTAATAATTTAAGTGCAGTTAAACAGGGTTAAGACTTCTGAACATAGAAAAACCTCTCAAATTAATTTGACTTAAATGCAAAGGGCTACTACACTTGCTATGCAAAGGGTGCATTTTCTTCCAGAAATTCTGTGCACCCTGAACATTTACAATCACCAAATTGAAAAAAAAAAAAAAAAAAAAAAATCAGTTTGGAAAAAATCTTATTTTATTTTATACCCCTCCTCTCCGCCCCCAAAAACTAGCACTAAAGACTCCATAAACACCACATTCCAGTATTTTAATTAAAGACAGAAAGTCAAGCACCTTTGGAGAGAACACATCTGGTGGACACTCCCATACTCAATCCAAAATTAAGTACTGACGATGTTACTTCCACGCAGCAACTTGACTCCACAAATTTCAGTTAAAACAATCATTTATTTCAATAGTTTAATCAAAGTTATCAGACACGAGAACATTTGCCTTAAAGTAATTACAACAAACAGCGTCTTCAAGTAATATTTTCCAAGACCTACTTGTTTGCTTGTTTTTTAAATGGAAACTCTCAATGAAGCATAAAAATCACACCTGTTTCAGGAATGCTGATGAAAAAAGTGTTACTTAAACAGCATATCAGTAGAGAACACATATGGATAGAAAGCATTTACACTTGTAAATGTAAGATTCGTAAGCTTTTCTTTCACCGGTACAGCAAATTGCAAAAAGCACTGCAATATACACCACAACCTATGCTTCCAGATTTTGCTATGAAATTATCAAATCAATACTGTTCTCCATGAGTCTGCCATATACCTCATTATTTGATTATTCTATGAGCAAGTTTAAGTGGCAGCTGCTCATCTCCTTAAGTCACTTTATCTGCAAACTGGAAACATCTGATATGCTTCATTAGTTTGAAGCTGAAAAAACAGTATCCTGCTATTTAACCTACCACTGCTTTATTTTATTTCCTCCCATCTCAGATAAGTACTTTAATCAATCCTTCACATCACTGTGAGCATTCAGACTGTGGATGAACAGAAACAATATACTGCTAACAGCCACCACAAGGATTACTGATGCAGGTACTAATAACAAAGACTTATTCCCCTCCCCAAAAATCATTCTGTGTAAATGATTCTGTAACATTCTGCACTGCAAATGAAAAATTGATTTTACACCTTCCAAGGGCCAGCAAGCGTTAGAGATGTCCTGTGCACATTCTCAAGTTTTAAACATGAGGATGTGGGACAGTGAAAATCTATGCAGTTATGTGAGGGGAAAAAAATAAATCAGGTTACTGGTAATTGTAATACCAAGTTACAAAGTGAGATTATCAGCAACTGTGAAACTGGGAATTTCACGGTACTACAGCTTTGGCTTGAATTCACCAGAAATAAGCTTTTTAAGCATTTCAGAATTTCTTCCTTCTGGTGGTGGAGGCCATCTGTTGTGATCTGAGGAAAACAAAACAATGGACTTAGCTGATACAGAAAAAAAAGCTTTTTCTTTTTGCATGCTCTTATTGCCCAACTTCAAACACATTAGGGGCATTATTCTTAGCCCGTTTCTTACCTGGTATTACGAAGCTACTGCCATATAAACTCAGGCCACCATCTATAACCATGGTTATCCCAGTTATGTAAGAAGCAGCTGGAGATAGCAGGAAACACACTGCAGGAGAAATCTAACAAACATGACAATTTTAATACTTCTTAAACTTCTGGCAATTGGTTATGCCCAGGATGTTTGTAAAAACAGACACAGGTGAAACACAGCTATGTTTTCTACTCAACTATGAAAGCCCCAACAATCTTAAAACCACACTTCCAGTTACAAACACCAACAAGGTAAAAGCTGAGTAACTTTCAAGTACTTTTAAGATACACTTTTTCACATTAATCTTCATTCTTTCAGACCTCCCTGATAAAAAAAAAATAAACTTCCCTAAGAGCACAGGCCAACTATGGGACATTTTAGCTTCAAGCGCAAAATTAAAGTCTCCCAGTTGACACTACTGCACATTACTACAAGCTTTTCCCTTTCTTTATACTCCACCATTTCAAAATTAAGTCCTTAATGGTGCCCATATAAAGTGGTTTTAAAACAGAGACATAGAAATGGGAACATCATAACTGCTCAGAGATACATTACCTCCTCAGGAACTGCTGATCTCTTGGCAGGAGTCTTTGGTATTCTCTTCAGCCACATATCTACACCCTGTTCTCCATAGTTGGCAACCGCAGTTTCTGAAAACACTATTCCCTGTATTAAAGCAGAAAAAAAAGTTCAGTTCTTTCACGTGTTAAGTTGTGACCATTGTTAAATTATAAGCTTACTGGGGTTTTCTATGGGACTAACAACCCAAACAAGACTTTAATACAAGTTTTTAAATTGGATGAAAGTATAACTTATAAAAGAAGGTAATTGGACTGATAGTTACATCCCTGTTCAAATACACTAATTCACATTGTTTTAATTCTTCACCACCACACCAACAACTCTTAAACTCTCAACTGTTTCGAAACAACAAACATTTCAAATTAAATTGCAACAGAAGCTACAAGAACCCCAAGAACAAGTTCGTATTTTTGTTTATAGTCTGCAAGAATACCAGATTGACTCCATTGTGAATTACACAGGCATTTTGCAATCAGATTTCAAACTCTCCCTACTGAGCTGTCATAGAAGCCCCTGTTGTGATAGTTATAAAAACCATCTTAAATTCAATAGGGAGGATGAAGGCTATAGTAAGAGAAACAGAGGGTGCCACATTTGAGTTCCGACAGAACATTTTGGACTCAAGTTTAAACAAGACAACAATTTAATTTGTTCATTAAGAACATTTCGATATTTCTCTAAGATGTGAACAACTGTGTTTTCACTAAAACAACCTCATTTGTAAAACTAATTTATTTTTCCAGAATGCTTATTTCCCTCTATGTAGCCAATGAATATACAGATGTTATAATTAAGAAATATACAGGAAAGTTAGGCTAAACAAGTTATCACACCAAAGAAGAATGGATGGAAAGCTTACTCTTGTCCTGGGCTCGCTGAGAAGACTCTAAGGGGAACAATCTCCAAAAGAGATCCTTCCCCAATGGTAGTCAGCTCTTAAATGGGGTCTAGGAGAGGTGGAGCCAGGTTCCACCCCTTCCAACAGCACAGAAGAATTGTCTTCACCTGTGCTCCCAAGGCTGAGCCATTGCTCACCTCGGGTGGTCAATCAGAGGTTCAGGCCATGATTCCCTCTCAGTTCCCATAGACCCTCTCACCATACGCTTTCCCTGCATGTTACTAGGCCCATGAGAGGCAGCAAGTTCTGCATGGTTAATACAAAGTACATTCACAAAGGTATCAAGTATCACCCTAAATAGAAAACAGATTTTTGTCATTAGCAGAGTTAAAAAATTAGCAAAAAAGCCAAACCACTCAAGTGTTTGCCTGCCAAAAGTCTCCTTTGACAGATGCTATAAAGTATAATTAGTATGATTCATTACGTAATTAGCATGCATTAAAAATATGCACACATACTAATGCTGTCCTAATTACTTATTTCCCAAAGTCTTGATAAATCAAAAAGCAAACAGGAAAAACGAGATAGCAGATCTTCATATTTAAGAAGTCAGAGTAGTCTCAGAGGCTATTTAGAAGAGCCATTTCCTGAGTCTCCCATCAAGCAATTTTGAAGCGTGCCAAGAGAAAGCAAACCAGGTGTTTTAGTGCAGGACATCTGCATACCCTGCTGTGGCTCCTACACTGGCAAAAAGATCTTCCTAGAAAGATACTAATAAATCTGAGATTGACTAAGCTGTGAGATAAGAAATTCTGAATGTGGAAGTAGCCAGATTAAGGTTTAGTTTTTGAGAGAGCAAGTGTGAAAGAAAGAAACAGCCATTAAGAATGAAGATTACTTCAACCACACTAGACATATCTCAGACCTCAAAGCTGGGCCTGTATATAGCCTCTGCAACTGCTGCATCACAGGCTACAAAAATACAACTGGCCTTTACACAAAGTTGCTTTGTGTAACTGCAACATGTCATCTACTTTCTCAAAAACACAGCAGGCATATTTTGCTGACCCACACAGCAGTGTCCTATCTGTGTGTACTTCATAAGGAAAAAAATGAATATCAGATGTAAAAATGTGTTTTTATTTCTTTGAGCGAAGGTCAACGCTGCCTTTTCACCACTAAAACTAATCCAACTTGACAAGATATAAACATTAAAAGGACACATTCAGAGATGCTCAGTGTAACAGCAAACACAGGCAGAAGCCACAAGCATACATGAACCATATTCAAAATATTTAGTAAACCATTTTCCCCATATCTGTCTCGTTATCCAAGCAGTACAAAACACTCCCAAAGGCACTTGGGAAAAAAAAAGGGCATGTATGGAAAGTGCATGGGGGGAAGCGTATGAAGAAACTACAAATTCATAATTTAAAAAAATCCATAAACAGTCAGAAGCTCTAGGTTTTAGAATTCCGTTCAGTTTCAGAGTGTTAACCATAACCACATATGGTAGGAAGTTTAATTACATCACTTGCCATTACTTACAGGAGCAACACTGTTGATTCGCACCCCGCTGTGGGCCCATTCTAAAGCTAAAGTCTTGGTTAGGTTATCCACTGCTGCTCTTGCAGCTCCTGAGTGCCTATTGAGAAAAGAAAGCAAAAGCAGCACCTTTTCCCTCAGCTAAGTGCTCAATATTAATATCCCTGCAGCTTCACTACGAAGTAGTAGTGTTCCATGTCTGGACCACCGTGATTTTCTAGTTCTTAAACTGTGAAGTTACTGTCAAATTTAGTAGACTTACACTATAATTTCCTTAAAGAAGTGTCAATTATATAAGAATTTAGTTTGAAAGTAGTCTTACCTAGCCACCCATACCTATATACAAGTTTCTGGTGAACTTTTCCAAGTAATTTAGATTTTTTTAAAATTATTATTCTCTTTGTTCAACTCTCCCATATTCTATTCACAGTGACAATTCAAACAGATACATCCAGAGCATAGAAACTCAAACGACTGCAGCTTCAGCACCACCATGTGGATCTCCACATTTATTTCATGCTGCTAAGAATAAGCCAGTGAGAAATAGAGATTTTGAAAAATTTAACCCTGAATGAGGCCTAAGGAAGCTAATATAACTCT